CTCATAATCTACATATCTACGAGGAAAAGACAGCCTGTTGAACCTTTTTTTCTTTTTTAATTTTATTAATATTATTATTTTTTTTAGTTTAGATAAACAACATTTCTCTATTGAGAAAACAGAGAAACGACAGTTGGCCATGCTCTGACTGAAGGGCAGTGAGTTCCCTTCTGGTTTTTTTTTTTTTTTTTTTTTTTTTTTTGCTCTTCTGATCCGAGCTAAGTTTGTGCAACACCTGAAGGTTTTGTTCCGTTTTATATTAAAACATTTAATAAACTTTTTAGTGATGTGAGTAAATATCATGAGATTGTGTTCAGTTTTAGCTTTAAAGATGTGGAGGAATTTAAAATAATAATAATAATAACAGCCTTGCTTCATCATTTAAATGATACAAAATCATGTTTTTATGATGATTTAAAATCAACATTTTAAAATTTTAAGGACATCATCTTAAATCAGTGGTTTTACTGCTCTGCAAAGCATGATTTTAACATTGTTTACTGGTTTTATTTAAAAGAGATCCCAGCAAACTGCAGCATAAAGCACTCTTCAGCTTCATGTTTCCAAATGATCTCATGTCACAGATAGTGTTTTGTGTTTTTTTGTATTTTATTCATGCCTCAAATTAAAATACAAAACTTTTTTCCTGGCAATTTACTACTGATGGAGAAAAAGATGTGACGATGTGTGTGGACTAAATATTAATTAATATATCACTCCAAATTTTTGTTACAACGTGTTTAGTTTTAATAACTTTCTTCATACATCTAATGTTCCAATTTTCGGCTTCATTTACTTATTAAACCTTGTAAAACATCAAACTCTCAGCAGATTCAGAATCTAAAAATAGGCAGCGAGTGATTGAAATGTCAAATAATAGCACTTTCAGCAAGATGTTAAATAACCCTCTAATTTTAACAGTGAAAGAGTTGGTTTTCAGACAGGCTTTCATAAGTTTTTTTTTTAACGTGGTGACTGTGAATGCGTCTGGTCCTGGATCATCATAATGAGACATTCTGACAGACGCAGCAGATTCCTGCCATCCTCAACCAACTCCTCTGGGCCCTCTTACAGCTAAAAGCAGCTTCCAGCCGAACCTTTTAGACACATTCTAACTGGGTGCTGATGCCAACTATAGCAGCTCAGAGTAGCCCCTCGGGGTGTAGCTCTGTAAAATAGGAGGAAGTAATATCATGACCAACTTTTTTTTAAACCAAGAGGGTCTCAGTGTGCATTTCATGATGCTGAACTTTCTGCAACTGAAGCAAAACTCTGGGAAAAAAATACCCCTGATGTTTTTGAAAACTTTAACAATAAAAGCAAAAAAAATCAAATAAAAAAGAAAAAAGCACTGGGCAGTTTTGCTTGATGTTGTGTTTTATTGTTTGCTTACATTTGGGACTTCAGATAGGATTTTGTGGATCTGCAGGTAAACGTGGAGAACAGAGAGCACTGTGTTCTCTGCAGGAACTCATTTGTTGACTGATTTGTTTTTGGCCTTCTCTGGTTTTGGAGATAAACACGTTGAACTAGATATGAATTTTCTTAATGGCTTTTTAATGTCTTTCTAATTTGCACTTTAAAAGGATCTAATGGACTGTCCTCCTGTTTGCACAGAGTGGAGAAACAGTGGATCTGACTCATTTAGTGGATACCTTTTAGCCTGTGCTGACACAGACAGAAATATTAAACCTGTTCAGAACTGCTGATGGAAAAAATAAATATCAGGTTGATCAAATTTGAAATCTTGGAATCTGAGAGTTCCTAACCATCCTAACCATTATTTGGTTTTTAATTTTAAGAAAATATACTAGAACATACACTCACCGGCCACTTTATTAGGTACACCTGTCCAACTGCTCGTTAACA